AAGTATATTCATATTTAATATAAATGAAAGCACAAATTTGATGGCGATTTTCTCTTCTTTTTCATTCCATTTGTTTCGTCATTCCAATTCATTTTTTTATTTTATTCATTTTGTCTTATATTCTGAAAAGACTTTCCTTCAAACACGAAAGCTTATACAGAAAAATATAGCATACTATTTATTTTTAATTCTATATAAATAGATATATAGAGTAGAACCTCACTATTCACAGAATCATCAACAGCAAGGGCGTCAGCAACCGTGATTTCCTTTATCCACGGTTAACCCAACCAGCAATTATTTCGTTTCCAAAACTAACATTATTTTGTACAATATATTTCAACGAGTAAAATATAAACAAAAAATACACAGACCTAAGTCTTTAATGATAAAATTCTTTTGAATGTTTATTAAAAAAATTAATTTAAATGTCCTGGGCCATCGGATCTTGAAGAGAAATGTTCTGATTCCTAAATAAAAATGTTATTTAATCGATTCATTTTATAGTTGTTTTGGCGTTTAAGTCAAAAATATTTCTTAGTTTGATACGTTATAGTATAAGATAGTTCGATATTATCCGCGGATTTTCCAACTACCGCGGATACAGAAGTTTCCTGGATACAAAGACAAGGTGGCATCCTTAAAATTCAAAGAAATTAAGGGACGGAATGGCTTCCTTAAAGAAAGTAAAAGTGATGAAAAATAGTAATGAAACGTCCAAAGATACACAGGAATCTGTGTATGATGAACGGACTTTTGATATCACACACACACACACACACATATATATATATATATATATGCCTATATATATATATATATATATATATATATATATATATATATATATATATATATATATACCTCTGTGTATTTATCTGTGTTAACGTTATATATATATATATATATATATATATATATATATATATATATATATATATATATATATATATATATATATATATAAAACAAACGTTAACACAGATAAATGCACAGAGGCAATTAATCTGGGAATGTCATCTGCTAAGCTATAGTTTTATCTCAAGCTTGGGTTGTGAGTTCAATCCTCAGTGTCGCAATATTGTACGCTTGTGGTAATCTAAGTTAAACTTTGAAAATAACCATAAATTGAAACAGTATTAAATATCAAACGTAATAAAGAAGCAGTTTTTTAATCAATTCATTCCAAGCGGAAACCCAATCCTAAACAGAAAAAAAAGGGATGAACCTCGACTCCTGTTCAAAAGACGGGGAGGTTGATGAACCGAGTTCTCGGCAAACCTATCTACTCATATTAATTTACTAAAGAGAAGATTTGATGCTGTTATAAAAAAACTGACGAATTAGATTAAATTGAATACAAAGAACAGGAAATTGTGGAGAGCCATGATTGCCCACGTCCTGAAGAAACACGGCACATAGTAGAAGAGGAGGTTAAGATTGAACTGTTCAGGGAACCACCCACGTGGGAATCTGTTTTACAAAGTGGTAGTTTTTATGGGAAGACTAAGTGAAAGCTTCTTACATTTGGGTCCGGGGGAAAATAAGGCTGATTTAATTCCGTGGAAGCGGCATAATGTGTCCTCGCTGTAAAACTCTGAACTAGTGAAACTAAAGAATAGTATTCGTCTGCCATGGAAATAGCGACAGAATTGCAACAGGCTTGCAATGTTCTGTATGTGGGAAAGGAGCTGCAAAGAGGAGAATAATTTTTCCCTCACAAGGCCGTTGATGCTGTCTTGTTGAGAAAGACATCCAATCAATAATTCAGAATTGCGTGAATATAGAACAAATAATCAAGAAAGATCTCTGTAATTATGAGTTATGAATACGTATTTGTTAATGTGTCAGATGTAACAAAAAATATCTGTAAAAAAACAATCTGAATAAAGACAAAAGGATAACTTATCTTAGTCGACGGCTTTCGTCCTCAAGACAAATGTAAGGATTTTATTCTGCAGCATGTATTCATAAACAGGAGGAGAAAATGTTAGATTTTCAAATGTTTTAAATTTAAGAACGCCAATAAATATTCTTTAAGCTATGAAATTCAAGGAGGATGATAAGTTTTGTTATTTAATGCCGAATAAACGAAAGTGAATAAGTTAATTTATTATTTTAGTTTAATTTGAGAAATTAATTTATGTGTTTATTTATTTTAAATAATAAAAGGTTTTAATTTAATCATTTTCTTCGAATTTTTTAATATTTTGATGCTCATATATGCTGGTTTGAGAAAGGAGTATATCATTTATAGTTTAGATTGACTTTCACAGCCTGAAGTATATTGATGAGCTGTTTTTAAATTTTAAAATTTGGAAAAAGCTAACGACATCTTTTACTTCTGTTTCTAAATAATTGTTGCAAAATAAAACTATTACATTTACCTTGAGAGAACGAAACGCATCCGTAAAGTGAAGTTTTCCTTTTGTCTTTATTCATATTTAATATTCCAATTTGTATTCAAACGGATGAGATCCATTAGTAAAGGATATCTGTAGATTGATTATCTGTTGAAAAATACAAATTCATAAGTCATATTGAGGATAAAATCGACATCTTCTTTTCATGACACTCCTCATCTCCACGAATGATTATCTTTTGAACTTCTGTTTTTTCAATCTTTCCACTATTGACTGAATAAATGATATTAATATTTGTAATATCTTTTTAAGTTGTGTCTGCTTCTTTAAGCAGGCACAACATAAAAAGAGATTTTTTTTCTCGCTTGCATTCAACATTTCCACCCGATTCTGAAATACGAGCTATTATTTCAAAGTTCATTTACACAAAAGAAAAAAAAACGTTGAAATATTTTGAAAATAATTATGTGATAAAGTTATGATTGTGTTTCCAAATCGAATGAGTATAGATTTTTATACGGATTTTTGCGTTTACTTCTTTTAAACAAGCTGAACACGTGACTTTACCAGAGCGGCTTGTTTCCTTCCTTTTATCTCTTGTTAGATGAAACTTTGTCAGCCATTATTCATTTTTTACTAGTAATTCTTTCATCTTAATTTGCTGTGTAAAGTAGTTAAAATTAAGAGGAACTATTTGCATTAATTTCTGAAAACCCAACGTCGTCTCCAACTGTCGTGGCAGAAATTTAAAAAATCGCACAAAGTTACACAAGGGAAAAGAATAAAGTAAAAGCAATTTATACATAAAGATAATTTCCTGCGTTAGTATTCAAGAATATCCAATCTGTAGTTATTGAACTTTTTTTTAAACAAAAAGAACATTTGGTTGTACTCAAAAAAGGTAATCAAGTTGCATTCCATTTACACCAGATGTCAACAAGATGTTATCTTTTTTTTTTTTTTTTTGTATAGGTTAAGGGTTCATACCAGCAACATCTAGTGACTCTCTCAGAAGATCAAAGTAACAATAAATCTCCTCATTACTCATCAGTATTCTTGCTGATTTTAGAATTGATGTCCTCTCTATGGTCTTGATTATTATTAAAATTTCTCACTAGAAATAACTGGAGCTTAAATGACAGCAAGTCTTCTCAATACAGCACTCTCTTCAGTACTGTTGCTTTTTCCAGTAATGCTGTCATCTGGGTCGTTCCTAATATTAACTTTCTCTGACCTATGCTTTCCGGAACCGTTCTTAGTGCTCCAATAACGACTGGTATAATTTCTTCAGTTCTCTTGCTTCTTCATCTTCCTTATGATTTACTTTTGAGTTTTGTCGGGACAATGAATCCATTATCAGCAAGTTACTTTCTTGTTTAAGTCCATGAGATCAAATCTCCGAGCCTAGATTGATTTTTTTTTCGTATCGAAAAACTATTCGAAAATAATTGTTCGTAAACAATTATTTGAAAAACATTTATTCGAATTGTATATTGTTTGAGTGAAAATTAATCGAAAGAATAATTAAACTAAATGATAATTATTCGAAATGCCTATATCTGAAATACGTATGTAGACTTGCTTTAAGAGAACCAATGCTGATTTACTTAGAATTAATAACACTCTAGAAGGATGGCATAGGGCTTTTTTGCAGCAAGTGACATCCCACAATATGGAAATTCTTAAACGCTCTTAACAAAGAACAGGACTTGCAAGAAATTCATATTGCAAAATTAAGATCAGGTTGCCAAAATATCAAGAGCGCCAAGAAATACTTAAAAAAATGATAAACTTAAAAAAATAGCGACATCCTTTAACGAATACTATTCAGTAATTGATTATTTGCCTGCAGTATCATATAACTTAAGGTTATAAGGATTTTTCTTACTAAATTGTTTTAGTAACGATTTCGAATAATTTTAATTTTTACATTTTTATTGCAATAAAGAATTTTGCATTTCGAATAATTATCATTTAGTATAATTGTCCTTTCGATTAATTTTCATTCAAACAATTTACAATTCGAATAAATGTTTTTCGAATAATTATTTTCGAATAATTATTTTCAAACAATGTTCCCATGATCCTTTTTTAATACTTTTCATTCTCTTGGATAGATTCTGATTTCATTGTTTCTCGTGGATCGTCTTCCCATCTGCTTTTATTCTTCTATTCTTGTATTCTTTCTGGAATTATTGTTTCGTCTAGATTTGCTATTTTTCTGTGTCCTATCTATGCTGGCTTTTATACTCATGGCATTAATATTAACCTTTAGCAATTTGCAATATTCATAAGTATTTTATTCTCATCCATTGGGTATAAGATACCACACAACTGCAGAAGCATCATCTTCGATTTTCAGTTAGTCATTTGCCTGTTGCCATAGTAGGATATGACAACACTAGCACAAAATTCAGCCACATGATCAGAGTTATATGCAGTGGCTGTACAAACATTTTGTTTGACAAATCAAGTCATCTACATGCTGGGCTTATGGTTAAGAGCGTCTCTGTTTCTCTTTTCATGTTTACTTTACATGGTTATGTCCACCTAGATTTATGTCAGATTTGTCTCCTGGAGCGCCCTTACGTTTGTTTGCCATTTTCAAATCTTTTTTTTTCTTCTTTGCTTTACAAGTCTCACTTTATCCTTTCTGTCGCCCTTAGCGCAATTTTTAACTGTTGCAACTCGTCTTTTCTTCCATCCTTCCTCAGTCTTGTGCATTCTTGAAGTCTTTTGATTCGGCGCAATATTCGGTGCTAAATAATCTTGCTCCTTCTCCTTCCTCTTCTTTTAACATATTGCCTATCGAAATCGTCTCTAGAATACAGAGTTTTATTTGATCTTGGCAACGTAAATCCTCGATACATCGCTAGAATACCAAAAGTATGATTACGGATATAGAAATATGTATTTATTAGATTATGTGTTATACTCGATATGTGAATTGAATACCTGTTTCAATTGAAGGGTTTCATTCACTTAAATCTTTATTGCCCGGTAATTTTCGAGGGCAACAATTAATTTCTCGGCCATCGTAGGAAGAGAAAAAAAAGAAAAGAAACCAGGTAAAAACATTTATGTTTGCATCTAAAAAAAAATAAATTGCCTTTACTTTTGCATTTACCTTCGTATCGATGCACTCGATAATCGAATTAATCAAATAATTAAATGCAGTAAATTCAATGCTTCGAAACCGTGAACAGAATTTCTCAAGACACCGAAATCTTCGGTTAATTTATTTATTTTTGTTTTGGGCAAAAAAAAAAATTACAAATAAATAAAACGCCCTGTGAAATTTGTATCAAGTTGTGAAATCCAAAGTAAATATATTTAAATTTTCTAAAAGTAAAACAAATAAATACACTGCTATTTGACGTTGTTGGTCATATTTATTTCATTTTTATTTCTATTTAAATTTGAGAATTTCCCATATTTCTGAAAAAAAAAATCCTGTTTTGTTTATTTGTGTTTATGATCCAGTTTTTTTAATCGCCTTTTGATGACGTCATAACTTTTGCTATCCGGACGTCTTTGATGCAAAATCTTCTTCACCCAACATGTTATGAAGGTTTTCTTTTCAATTTCAGCTTTTCACAATACTGTTCATTTCTTAATCATCTCCCCAACCTTCAACAACTGAATCGTTGATTCGTGTACATTTTCGCTCTCATTTTCAATAAATCACTCCTTATATTTTTCAACCCTTGTCTTTTGACTTTCTTTATTCTGTGAAAACAATTCAAAAGTTATGAATGTCGATGATTCTTGACTCTGTGTTTATTTTCTACAAGGCCAGAAATTTCATGTAAATTCGTTCAAATTTATTCGATTAATCTGCTGCCTAATTTTCTTCAACGAAGAAAATTACATGAGATTAAGGCTAGTAAGGAAAGAAAAAATCTTTCTTAGATGATTTTTATTTGGTAAAGAAAACCCTACGAAAAAATAGTTCAAACAAATGTTTGAGGTAACATTTAATTTATACTGACATACAACAATGACAGACAACGCGAGCCGAGTTTAAAAACCAGACAATAAATTTATTTCTGGACCGGGGCGATCTGGGATTCTTACAATAGCTGTTCGTCGACTACGAAAATTAAATCGAAGGGCCCTCTTAAATAACCTACTGCTAAGCTCCAAATGCACTTCTTGGAATTTAGAGGGAAACACTTTTATTGGTTTCGGATGAAAAACAAACGCAGCTGTTTTCCCACAAATCAAATGTACCAAAAATATTTTCAAAATTTTGAAAATTAAGAGCCCAACGCAAAGTCTGCTTTCTCTGTAAAAGTCAGACGATGCTCACTCAGGAAAGCAGCTTGCTTAAATTTCTTATATTCTCTGTGCTAACTTTTCTCATAATTCTTCTTTCCCTCGCATAGAACAAAGTATCTTTATTTATTAGTTCAAATATATAATGGCGTCTCAGATGCGTTACGAGCATTTGTGTCACTTTAAAATGATTAGAGCACATTTTAACTGGTTTTATAGTTAAACGTTGTTACGTTTTAAACGTAAGTTGAAGAAGAAACTTGAAACAACAAATATGTGCTTCCTGGCTCGACACGTACAACCACCCACACCGAACTCTTCGATCGGAGGAGGGGGCTGATTGGGAGCCTGAGCAGTTCTTTGTGACACTTGCTATTTTATCAACATTTGCTTTTTTCATTTATATACGTTACAAATTAAACTAAGCACAACTTACTATTAAAGGATGAAAAATGTTCGCGGATTTTGACGTCATTCTGATTTCTTTTTTTTCCTTTTTTTTTTTTGTTTGTTTTTTTTGTTTTGTTTTTCATCCAAATCCGTGCATGCCAAGTCTCGAAAAATACTGTATAAAATTCACTATTTTTATTCATAATATGTTAAATTATTCAACTTTTTACCAAGAAAAATCTCAAGTTGACGTTAAAAATTGCCGCAAAACATTGTTGATTTATTTAAGATGGAATGATCTATTATGACATGTCTCTAATTTATATTTAAATACATTGTATTTATTTTCAATTTTTCTAGTTCAATTGTTCACCTATATTGCATATGATCCATTATTGTACATAATTAGATTACAATAAAATTTTTATTTTATATGAATACTATCTTCTGAAAATTGGGATGTTGTAAAGTGGGTGGCCGTATCATAGATTCAGTGGAGGGGCACGAGAACCTAGCACCCGGTCCCCTATGTGTGCTTCTACAGAAGAATGCTAACAATGTCATGGAAAATATATGTTCAATATGAGTGAGCAACGAAAAAGATTTAGGGAAAATGAAAATAAAAAGTCTTATACTTAGAATCAGAAAAAGCAGTTGAATTTTCTAGGATACATAATGAGGAATGAGGGCTTAGAAAATCTGACACACACAGGATATATTGAAGGCAAGAGGAAAGCAGTGAATAACCTACCTAACTAGCTTGTGTAAATGGTCGGTAGAACAGGGATTAGAAGAGATAGCAAAAGAGCAAACATTGCTAAGGAGAGGAAGTTGCAGAGAGCCATGATCGCCCACGTCCTGAAGGGACACGGCACATAGAAGACCGTGATAAGAATTTCTTATTTGAAATTTATAATTAGTGTTTATTCTGAGGGTCATAAATATAAGATCTAATTATAATGTAAAAGGATTTATTGGACATCTAACCCTGAAGAGCGTTTTGATGCGAAACTCAGGAGTCGGTCAATTAAGAATTAAGATAAGTTAAATCGATTTATTGAATATATATATATATATATATATATATATATATATATATATATATATATATATGTCAGTCAGTTATGTGCCATGCGTGATAAACGCTTAGGCGATCATGTATCTTTCAATACATGACTGACGAGGCAGATTTTTTCCCTCAGTAGGTTGCCATTTCTTTCTGTGGTAGACCAGTTGCCATCCAAGGCTATAGAACCCGGTCTGTCCTGCATAGCTGGTGGGGGGAGAGAAGAAGAGGATTCATACCTTTCCCAAAGATATTAACACGTAAATGAATGTAATGGATTCGACTGGAATTCGAACTCGGCTCTCCGATTCCCCAACTCGAGCCGCTATCCATTACTCCACCGATATATATATATGGGGACAACAGCAACAACTAAAACGAATAGTGCATGTAATTTGAAGAGAAAATAATGACATAATCAATCAAACGCTTAGGAAGGAAACCCTCATCAATAATGGAAAGAGCGATAATGGCTAGTGGATTCGGAAACCAATTTTCCTGAAAAATTGTTCCAAGAGAGAAAGATTTTATAAATTTCTGTCGATAGTAGTACTAACAGTAAGGTCAATGAATGCTGAAGGTTTCCTTATAAAGAAACGGCTAATATTACCATTACAATTCATGACTTGACAAGAAGTGAGATTATGTTGATAAACATTTGTTGTTTAGGTTAAGGACATATTGACGTACTTACATGTATGTACCTGTGTCTGTGTGTACAAAATAATTCGAAAATATATGTTGTGTAAGCGCAATTGTTCTAAATGTTCCAGACAGTTTTTATACGCTGACAGGGAATCAAATTTTAGCATCCTCAATATGTGTTTCAATTCACTCAAGATTCAATCGACAGATAACAGGATTATAGGAAATGATCATGTCTACAGATCAATACGTGCACAGGTTCCATTATCTGAAACGTATCACCAGTAGCATATTAATACATTGCGTGTATCCTTCTTGGGCGTTAACATAACTCTTGAATACATACAAATATGAAAATGCCATCTTGCGATGCATTTTTTTCACGTCCCTTTTATCTTGTTGACGCAATAGAGCAAAAGTTGTCGATGTACTAACTGAACAAGTCAGAAGTCGTCCCATCATGTCCTATGGGATATCATTTAAGAATTAAGCAACATATGTTCAATAGCAGACAGGCTTGAAGATTACAAGCCGGTTATTAAAGATCTTGCTGAGTATGTTGTGTATCTTGTAAGCAAGAATTATCCTACATGGCTTTTCTGTTGTTGGAAAGGCAGCAGAATAGGTTAAAGAATTACCATGAAAGTATTTAGAGAAAAGATTCAGTCAAGTTACGTTACGGCGGTGGGAAAAGGACTGAAGTCGTGATGCCAGGTCAAGGCCAATAACATTGCAGATTCTTCTTTGGTTTTTATTAAATATCTCTAAATATATAGCAGGAACACCAGACCAGATGTGACAGTAATATTCAAAACATGGACGAATGGTAAACTTATAAATATGAAGATACATTCTGGCGAGAAATATTGTCTAGCACAACACAGTGAACCAACATTCCTAGCAGCACACCTAGCAATTTCTTCAACATAAACTTTTCACTTCATATCGAGTCAGGTATTGACAAACTCTAAAATTTGAACACCCTAAAGGAGGATTCTGATTCTGTAACATGCAGATGCTAACGGATACCTAGAATTCGGAGGAAGCAGATGGGGCATCGGATTGAGAAAACGCATGGTTTTATTAAATGGTTATTAGAATAAATGATGAAAAGTTAGTAAAGATTAGTTTCGCGAAATTAGTTAGGAGAATTGAACCTGAATATTAACTTAGTATAGCTGGGTGTCCAACCGCACATACTATAAATGAGAACTCACCCGCTACACTCGCCAAGTCGGGCAGAAATAATGACAACTGATTATTTGCTGAGAGGAAATCAAAACATTGTTTCTAGGTGGTTTACATAACGACCTGTTCGTTGTGTTGGTGAGGTTTCTTAAGCAGAATTGTA